GGAGGAGGAGGGGGGGGAGGAAGAGGATGTAACAAACAACTCTACTTTGTTGATGTTTTCCGGATGTTTCTGTCCTGAGTGTCAGACTGACAAGAGCCACACCAAGGAGGCTGAGATGAAAGGCCTGAAGGCCTTCACCAACCAAGCCTGATAGAGGCCTCACCTGTACAGTACCAGAGGTCTGGGCCCATATTCATAAAGAGTCTCAGAGTATGAAAGAGCAGGAGCGCTGATCTAGGATCCCGTTTAGCCTCTTAGATCATAATGAATAAGATGACATAGACATGGGGGGGGACCTGAATACGGGCCCTGGTCCTACCTGAACAGCACAGGGGGTTGGTGGTACCTGAATTGGGGAGGACGAGCTCGTGTTAATGAGTGGAGCGCAATGAATGGAATGGTATCAACTACATCAGACACATGGTTTCCAGGTGTTTGATGCCGTTCCATCTGCTCCGTTCCGGACATTATTATGAGCCGTCCTCCCCTCAGCAGCCTCCTGTGCTCTACAGTCCTTCATCCTATAGGATGGTGTGGTTTCTCCTACTGTAGGTTGTTATCCAAGCTTTTCACTCAAATTTCTTCTTGCAAATCTCAACCTTATTTTTTCTGTCAACAAATCCTGGACAACAAATTGCTAAAGTAGGAATGATGATCATTTCCTCTTAGAAGAAAAGGGTGCATATTGTAGAAAATGCACCTGAATACACCTACTGTTAACACTCTGACCCCAAGTCAGTTCTGAATCTGTCTTGTTGCCCTGGCATAGGTTTGGGACAGATATGCAGATCGTAGACCATGGAAGCCCAACGCCAACTGATATCAACTGGGCAGAGTATATTTGACTGAATAGCTGTTTTAAAAAGTGCCATGCAAAGCATTTTCAGGAACATTATTTATTGTTTTGCATGGTCAAGCCCAAAGAATGTTATGTTTTTTTCTTTGTAATTTTATGTACATAGTCTAAGCTAAAATGTGCTTGGATTTTGTGTAAAGTTAAAGTAGCCTATATGTTGTTTGAGAAATAAATCATGTTGACACTATGATGTGTTTTCTGTTCTTCATGCATTATCATAGCCTGGGTACCAGTCTGTTTGTATTAAGGACTTTATCATAGCCTGGGTACCAGTCTGTTTGTATTAAGTACTTTATCATAGCCTGGGTACCAGTCTGTTTGTATTAAGGACTTTATCATAGCCTGGATACCAGTCTGTTTGTATTAAGTACTTTATCATAGCCTGGGTACCAGTCTGTTTGTATTAAGGACTTTATCATAGCCTGGATACCAGTCTGTTTGTATTAAGGACTTTATCATAGCCTGGGTACCAGTCTGTTTGTATTAAGTACTTTATCATAGCCTGGGTACCAGTCTGTTTGTATTAAGTACTTTATCATAGCCTGGGTAGCAGTCTGTTTGTATTAAGTACTGGGTACCAGTATGTTTGTTCCATCATGCCACTTCTTGTCATGACAAGGGCACAAACAGACTGGTACCCAGGCTATGATAAAGTCCTTAATACAAACAGACTGGTACCCAGGCTATGATAAAGTCCTTAATACAAACAGACTGGTACCCAGGCTATGATAAAGTCCTTAATACAA